GTAAACAAACTATGATAATGACATCCCACTAGAATCTCACCCCATAAGTTTCGACACTGGTCAAAAGAAACAATTAGAATGTCTCTTTTCCCCATTAGTTCTCAAGTTTTTAATATTATCACACAGGTGACTCATAGTACTTGTTATATTACAGATTATAAACCAAGTCATGAGAGAGAATGTTAGAGAGCTAGGGAGTTTAATAACAGCATATTTAAATTTTCAAAATTTCAGAAATGATTTTAGACTTACACTAAAAGATATGTCTAAGGTGATTTCTCACAAAGAAAAATAGAAAAGAAGGATCTGTAAGATTTGAAAGTTTTATTTTCATTGACAATATTTACTGCATTCAGATGTCAAGATGTATTAATAAAAATGGAATTCTTAAAAAAATTTAACTAGAGAGTTAAATCAAAGCAAATTTCATTCAGCTCCCAAATTATTTTAGATACATGCAAAGACATATAATCAGTTTCTAAGAAAGAAGGAAAGGTGAGGATCTTTGACTCTAAAAAATAAAAATTTGAGAAACAGTGGAAATATATATGTTATACAAATTATTTTCACATTATAGTATTTTTGGCTCAAATTACACTTAATGTTGCATAATCTTATCATAAAATTCATTAAATGTATGAGAAAATAATTGCAATGAAAATTTTAATAATTAAATTTACTTTGAAATGCTTTAAGATTTGTCATATGTGAAACTTTAATCTGTTTTAATGGTACTATTACAATTGCTAATGTCTATCCTTTAAGGTTTAAAGGTAAGGACTTCTAACAGAATGACCCATGAACCACATAGAAAATTTTGTTCATCTATCAGAAAGATCACTCACACCATGACCAAGTCAGCTCCATTGCAGGGATGCAGGAACAGCTCAATACATACAAATCACTAAATGTAACACAGCACATTAACAGACACAAAGACAAAACCACATGATCACATCTCATAATTTGATAAAACTCAACACCATTTCATGATAAAAGCTCTGATGAAAGTAGGAATAGAAGGAATATACCTCATCATAATAAAAGCTCTATGTAACAAACCTATAGTCAACATCATACTAAATGGGGAAAAATTAAAACCATTTCCCTTAAAGTCAGGAACAAGGATGCCCATTCTCTGCATACTTATTGAACATAGTCTTGGAATTCCTAGCAAGAGCAATAAGCTATGAAGAAGAAATAAAAGGAATACAACTTGGAAAATAAGTACTCAAACTATCCCTATTTGCAGGTGACATGATCTTATACATAAAAGACCTCAAAAACTCAACAAGTATACTACTAGACACCATAGATAGCTGCAACAGTGTAGCAGGATATAAAATCATTTTATAATAATCAGTAGCCTTTCTATACACCAAAAATGAACAGACTGTGAAAGAATATGGAAAATAATTCCATTTACAATAGCCTCAAAAAATCAAATACATAGGTTTAAACTTAGCAAAGGGTATGAATGACCTCTATAAGGAAAATTACACACCTCTGAATAAAGAAATCAAAGAAGACTGAAGACCTAAATATCTCCCAATCTCATGCATTGGTACAATCAACTTAGTAAAAATGGCTATACTACCAAAAGCAAACTACATGTTCGATGCAATTCGCATCAAACTTCCAATGACATTCATCACTGAGACTGAAAACAAACCCAAAAGTTGATATGGAAGCCCACAAGACAGCAAATAGTCAAGGCAATATTGAACAAAAAGAGCAATGCTGGAGGTATCACAATACCGCCTTCAAGCTATACTACAGAGCCATAACAACAAAAACACTATGGTAATAGCACAAAAACAGATATGAAGACCAATGGAACAGAATAGAGGACACGGAAATGAATCCACCAGGTATGCCGACCCAATTTTTGACAAAGACGTCAAAAACATGATGCAGAAAAGACAGCCTCTTCAAAAAATGTTGCAAGGAAAACTGGATATCAAACTCCAGAAAACTGAAATTAGATCCATGTTTATCGTCCTGTAAAGTATCAACTCAAAGTGGATTAAAGACCTTAATATAAAACCTGAAACCTTGAAGCTAGTAAAGGAAAGAGCAAAATCAGAGAACAGAAGGGCGGAATAAAAGCCCTGCTCAGGGGGGAGGGCTGTCACCAGTGGTAGGGGGAAGTGATGGGGAAAGGCGTGTGAATATGTGCAAAAATTGTGTACATCTATATGTAAATACAAAAATGATAACTGTTGAAACTCTTCCAGGAACCCGGGTAGCGTGGGTAAATTGATATGATATATTTGATACATTGTAAGAACCTGTGTAAATGCCACAATGTACCCTCACCAAGCACAACAATAAGGAATAAAGCAAAATAAGTTTATTTTATGAGAACTTTTACCACTACCAATAATTCCTGAATCACAAGGGTCATTGAAAAACTTACTTTTCATCTAAGGTCAGCATAAACTTGTTAGATGTGAATTGATGCTACAAGAAGTATGAAATTAAAAATGCTGTGTTAATGTCACATGTGATTTGACAACTGAACCATTTTCCATTTTGAGTCTGTCTTCAAAATGGATCTGGTCATTTCCCCACTGCTATTTATTGAAACATCAGAGTTCAGCATTGAGAGTTTATCTCCTAAAACAGTTTTTATAAACTATCATCTAAAATACTGAGTAAAAACAAGCCATTGATCTTCAAACAGAGATCCTTTATAAAAGAAGCTTCATAAATGCTACAATGAACACTCACCCAGCACAACAATAGAAGACTCTGTAGTAACTTTATATATGAAGAAAGCAATGTGAAAATGACAATGACTCAATGGATAAAAATACAAATATGAGATGATATGGATGATCAGGAAGATGTGGTTAGGCAAGCACCATTATTTCCTTCTGAAAATAAATATTTTGGGGACTCAGAAAAAAACTTAGAAATGAAATATACAATGATGACACAATTTTTTGTCTATAATTAGACCATTTTATTAGTATTCACAACTTTCATTAACAATAAACAATATCAGAGAATACTCATTTCACAGATTTGAAAGCAAACTTATAACAACAGTTTATGTCCACTAGTTCAGACAGATGATTTCAAAAATGGAACTCAAGTATTAGAGTGCTTGCACAGTCAGTGAGATGCTCTAAGTTTAAACCCTTGTACTACCAAAAAGAAAGGGAAGAGACAGAGAGAGAGAAAGAAAAGAAAAGAAAGAGCAAAAATGGAACTCAAATAGGTTTTAATGCTGATGCTAGGTTAAAGAAAAAGGATCCTTACCTAGGGTCACATCATAATAGAGAGGGAGAGAGAAGAGCATGATGTAATTTAGAGTTGGTCATGTTTGTCACCTTAACACAACTTTTTGTGGAGACTGTGAAGCTTAGAGGAATCACAAAAAACACAATCATTGATAACGTATAGAGGTGGCAAAAAGTGAAACAGAAATAACCTGACTCCAATAGTCTGACAAACCACTCTAAAGAGATGATTTTAAAAGTCTACTAGATGCTAGCACTGAATGGAGAATTGTGGGAGCTGAGATGTCTATGGATTCCTGTGAGAGTCACTGAGAGGGTCACTTACCTCCTTTCAGGACTAACAGAATTTCTGGCTCCTGTTTTCATTTTTCACCAGCAGAAGCTTGACTGGATGGAGGAAGAAAATAAAATTTACTGCTTGGAGATCTCTTTCACTACCCCTCCAAGACATGGATTTTTGCTCAAAAATGGAAAGTGAATTTCTGTGTGTGAAAGTTCCCAGTCATTATTCAGAAAATAATTTTGCAATTTTAGTTTTTACATGTGAATAAATGACCTATATGAATGCAGTAATAAAAGATTGCCACTTCTGAATCTGAGATTTGATAAAGTGGGCAGTAAAAATGTGATTGCTTTTTTTATAAGGGAAATGATTATAAAATTGTCAAGTAATAGATGAGGTAACATAGCCCCAGAAGAGTAAAATAAAGATCTGGGTACATGCTTATAATCCCAGCAACCAGGGAGGCAGAAACAGAAGGATGTCAAATTCCAGACCAACCTGAGCAAAGCTACTGAGACCCCATCTCAAAAACAGAATAAAACTGTGTGGCTAGGGTGTGGGCAAGTGCTAGAGCTCTTGCCTAGTATGTTAAAGGCTCTGAGGTGAATCCCCAATACCACAAAAAATATGAGGAACAAGAATTGTCATATAGATATACATCAAAACATATAATGCATCAAGTCCTGTTTATTATGGTCATTATCTTGCAAAGTATTGTTATCACCTGTGAGCAGAAAATATCTTACCACTCCTAACATGTTCCATATTCTCTAATACAGATCTGCATGTTGAGTAAAAATCAGTATTACATTTTGTAGAATGTTCAAAATATTTAATTTGGAGATCACACTTTAGAGATGTTTTGTAATAAAATCAATTAAGGCAAATGCATGTAACATTGAGATTACCAAAGCATATTCAGCAATCAAAATCATTCCCTGATATAATATAAATGAGTCCTGCCAAAAAAAGAGCCATGCTCATATATATAAACCTAACCAAATATATTTAAAGTAAAATCATAATATTTAGAGTTGATACAGCTTATTGTGGGTGGATAGACTCTGGGACATCACAGAGACATGATGACTTCCATGTTGATGAACCCTGAATACACTTCTGCCACTGAAATCTTTCTTTCACATAACCAAGTATTTGTAGTTGTCTTATGAATCATGAACATTCAAGGCTGTCTTTGGCATGTTGTGGTACAAAGCAGCTACAGATTGTAGACATCTCTTTATTTCTTTTGAAGTACTTAGGTTAGAATGCAAGGCCACTTATTTGCAAGGTACCACTTGATCTACTCCCTAGTTCTTATTGTTTTAGGATTGTTTTTAAAAACGGTCTCATGTTAACTATCCCTATTGGCATGAAACCTGTATACTCTGTCTCCAACTCCTGAGCAGAAGCTGGGATTGCAGGCATGAGCTGCCAAACCCAGTTCAAAAATTATAATTTGCTTTTTGCTAAAACAATATACTCTTTTTCACAAGCAACTTAATTAGGGCAAATTTGACATCCTTATTCCTCAGACTATAGATCAAGGGGTTCAGCATGGGTACAATAATGGTATAAAACACAGAGGACACTTTGCCTTGGTCCATGGATCTGACAGATGGAGGCTGCAGGTACATGAATGTTGTAGAACCATAGAAGAGGGCAAGAGCAGCAATGTGAGAGCTGCAGGTGCTGAAGGCTTTGGACCTGCCTTCAGTGGAGTGAATGTGGAGGATGCTGGCAATTATAAAGATGTAAGAGCAAAAGATGATCAGACTTGGGACAACAATATTAAAAGCACAGAAACACAGACCTACTACTTCATTAATGAAAATACTAGAGCAGGAGAGCCCCAATACAGGATATAGATCACAGAAGTAATGATTTATTACATCAGCCTTACAGAAACTCAGTCTTAGTATGCATACTGTGTGACTGGTAGCACCAATTAAGCCCATGCCATACACACTAAGTACCATCCAGGTACAGATCTGAGAGGACATGGAAACTTTGTAAAGCAAGGGGTTACAGATGGCAACATAGTGGTCATATGCCATGGCAGCCAACATGTGACATTCTGCAATAACAAAAACACAGAAGACATAAAACTGAGCTATGCATTCAGGGTAGGAAATGATGTTCTTCTCTGTCACAAAGTTCACTAGCATTTTGGGAGTAATGATAGTGGACTGGCACAAGTCAATGAAGGAAAGACTGGCAAGGAAATAGTACATGGGAGTGTGCAAGTGAGAACTGAGCCCAATCAGGATGACCATGCCCAGGTTCCCCACCACTGTGATCACATAGAATCCAAGGAAGAGGAGGAAGAGGGGCAGCTGGAGCTCAGGTTTCTCTGTTAATCCAGCAAGGACAAACTCAGTCACTGTGGAATAATTTCCTTCTGCCATATTCTCCTGGAATTTGGTGTAGGAAGAGAAGACAAATTGTAAGGTTACTATTTATTTTCCTATCATTTAATGTGTTGAGAAATAGCAACAGTTTCCACAAATACTCACAGCCAATACAATTCTAAATGGTGAAGGACTGAAAGCCTTTCCACCACCTAACATAATGAATATGACAGCATGTGCACTCCTTGCACTGAAATTCAACTTCATACTCACATTTTACCTGGGGTAATGAAGCAAGAGAGTGAATTAAAAACCACCTAGGAGATTATCCAAAATGGTGACTGGGAAACAGAAGCAGACTCCCTGAGCTCTGGGAATTAGGGACCTTGCTGAGATGCTAGAGTCACCCTTGGCTAGGGAAAGCACCAGGGAGAGCTGAAACTTCAGCACCCTGAAACCCTAGCCTATGGAAGACTTCTTCATGTCATGATACACTGAAAGAACAGGTGGGCTGCTGCCCTCCTGCCACCTCGTCAGGCATCTGCCCTGCAGACCCATCAGGCCACTGCCATGAATGACAGCCCACTGACACCCCAGGCCACCACCCTGATGGCCCACCAGGCTGCTGCCCTGCCAGCCTTCTGGGCTACCGCCCAGACAGCCCACCTACACACCAGCCACTCCCCACCACAGGAGGACTCCAGCACAACAAGACATATGCTCCAAACCTTCCTAGAAGACACAGACAAAAAGCACTGGATGCTAAAGGAGTAACACCAGTACTACTAAGACTGAAATTCTACTGTTCCTGAACTGGGGATCTTTTTTTTTTTCTTTTCTTTAACTGTTTGTTTGTCATGTTCACTGTTTGATTGTCCATCATCTCTCCCTCTTTGGTTCTCCTTTTTTTTTCTAATTCTTTTTCTTCTTTTTTCTCCTACTTTCTTGGTTTTGTTAATTTATTATAAGTTAGCTAATACTAAATTACACATAGACTGGAGCAGAAAGAGTACCAAGTGGAATGATGGGAAGATGAAAAAAGGATGGAAACAATTCTTCCACCAAAAATAAATTAGTTCAAGATTCAGACAGAAATGAACAAAACTGATACCCAGATCCAGACTCCAACAAAACAAAGATAAGCTATACCAATGAACTCAATGAAGCCCACAAAACACCCTGAAAGAAGAAATTCTTCTTCATAGAGATGTTACTGGACATGGCCAACCAAAACATATAGGAAGCACTCAAGAAATTCCAAGGAAACAAAAAATAAAGAATATGAGAAAACACAAAAATAAATAAATGAAATCATAGGATCCCTAAATAAACACCAAAGTGAAACAGAAAACACCATAAATAGACAGATAAATGAATTAAGGATGAAAATTGCCAAGATTAAAGAGGAAGTGACCCATGATATGGAAAAACCTCAGAAAAAAGAATGAAACAGAAATACAAAACAAATGGGAGGCCACTCAAGCAAACTAGAACAAGCAGAAGACAAAATCCTCAGAACTTGAAGATGAAATGGTAATTAAAGGAAAAACTGAAGCACTATTAGTCAGACAACTCAAGTCCTGTGAAAGGAATATGCAAGAACTCACCAACTCCATCAAAAGAACAAACCTGAGAATCATGGGCATTGAAGGAGAAGAGGTGCAAGCAAAAGAAATTTGTGATATACTCAAAAAAATAATAGCAGAAAATTTCCCAAATCTAGAGAAAACTATGCCTATTCAGGTTCAGGAAGCCTCCAGGACACCAAACATGACCAAAATAGAACTATATTATGACATATTATCATTAAAACAACAAGCACTGAGAATAGAGAAAGAATATTGAAGGCTATAAGAGAGAAAAAACAAATAACATACAAAGGCAAACTCATCAAAATCACAGCAGATTTTTCAACAGGAAACTTAAAACAAGAAGAGCATGGAGTGAGGTATTCCAGAAACTGAATGAAAATAACTTCCACCCTAGGATACTCTACCCAGCAAAACTATCATTCAAAACAGGTGGAGCAAGAAAAGTCTTCCATCATCAGCAGAAACTGAAACAATATATGACCAAGAAGCCACCACTATAAAAGATTCTTCAAGGAATTCTGCACACAGGAAGTGAAAACAAACAAAACCATGAAAGGGCAGGCAATACCAAAACACAGGAGAAGAAAAGGCAAGAAAGTAGAGAGTAACATTGATTCAGCTGCACACAATAAAACACTTAAACAACAAAAACACCAAAATAACAGGAATCACCACATACCTATCAATACTAACACTGAATGTTAACAGACTAAGTTCCCCTATCAAAAGACACTGACTGGCAAACTAGATTAAAAAAGAAAATCCAACAATCTGTTGCTTACAGGAGACCCATCTCATTGACAGAAATAAGCACTGGCTGAAAGTAAAAGGCTGGAAAAAGATTTACCAAGCCAATGGTCCCTGAAAACAGGCAGGGGTAGCAAGACTTATCACAGACAAAATAGACTTCAAACTTACATTGATCAAACTAGATAAAGAAGGACACTCCATACTAATAAAAGGGGAAATACACCAAAAGGAAATAACAATTATCAACCTATATGCACCCAAATTCAATGCACACAATTTCATCAAACATACTCTGAAGGACTTAAAAACAAATATAGGCTCCAACACAGTGGTAATGGGAGACCTTAATATCCCCCTATCACCAATAGATAGGTCATCCAAACAAAAAATCAATAAAGAAATTCTAGAACTAAATCACACCATAGATCAAATGGACCTAGCTGATGTTTACAGAATGTTTCATCCAACTTCTGCACAATATACATTTTCTCAGCACCTCGTGGAACATTCTCCAAAATGATCATATCTGAGGGCACAAAGCAAACCTCAGCAAATATAAGAAAATAGAAATAATCCCATGCATTCTATTTGATCATTATGCATTAAAACTAGAAATCAACAATAAAAACAACAGTAAAAACCATGAAAGCAATTGGAAGCTGAACAACACATTGCTCAATGATCAATGGATCATTGATGAAATAAAAGAGGAAATTAAAAGTTTCCTGGAAGTTAATGAAAATGAAAACATGACCTACTGGAACCTCTGAGACACAGCAAAGGCAGTCTTAAGTGGAAAGTTTATACCCATGACTGCATATATTAAAAGAACAGAAGATCTCAAGTAAACAACCTAATGCTAAATCTCAATCTCCTAGAAAAATAAGAACAAACAAATCCCAAAATAAGCAGAAAGAGAGAAATAATAAAAATAAGGACTGAAATCAATGAAATAGAAACAAAAGAAATATACAGAATCAATGAAACAAAAAGCTGGTTCTTTGAAAAAATAAATAAGATTGACAGACCCCTGGCAAACCAGATTAAAATGAGGGTAGAAAAAACCCAAATCATTAAAATCAGAAATGCAATAGGAGAGATAAAAACAAACACCATTGATATCCAGGAAATCATCAGAGACTACTTTGAGAAACTGTATTCTAATAAATTTGAAAATCTTGAAGAAACAGACAGATTTCTAGATACTTATGTCCATCCAAAACTGAACCAAGTGAATGTTAATCACCTGAATAAATCTATAACACAAAATAAAATTGAAGCAACAATCAAGAGTCTCCGAAAAAAGAAAAGTCCAGGACCTAATGGATTCTCTGCTGAATTTTATCAGATGTTTAAAGAAGAACTAATACCAACCCTCCTTAAATTGTTCCATAAATAAAAAGGGAAGAAACTACCTAACTCATTTTATGAAGCCAATATTACTCTCATCCCAAAACCAGACAAAGACACCTCCAAAATGGAGAACTATAGGCCAATTTCCTTAATGAACATTAATGCAAAAAGGCTCAATAAAATAATGGCAAACTGAATCCAACAACACATCAGAAAGATCATTCACCATGACCAAGTCAGCTTTATCCCAGGGATGCAAGGATGGTTCAACATATGCAAATCTATAAATGTAATACAGCACATTAATAGAAGCAAAGATAAAAACCACTTGATCATCTAAATAGATGAAGAAAAAGCCTTTGACAAGATCCAACATCACGTCATGATAAAAGTTCTAAGAAAATAGGAATAGAAGGAATGTACCTCAACATTGTAAAGGCTATATATGACAAACCTACAGATAACATCATACTTAATGGTGAAAAATTGAAACCATTTCCCCTAAAATCAGATAAGAGACAAGGGTGCCCACTATCCCCACTCCTATTCAACATAGTACTAGAATCCTAGCCAGAGCAATTAGACAAGCAAAAGAAATAAAAGGAATACAATAGGTAAAGAAATTGTCAAAATATCCTTATTTGAAGATGACATGATCCTATACTTTAAAGACCCAAAAATCTCTACCCAAAATCTCCTAGATACCATAAATAGGTACAGCAAGGTGGCAGGATACAAAATCAATTTACAAAAATAATTAGCTTTTCTATACACCAACAATGAACAAACTGAGAAAGAATATATGGAAACAATTCCATTAATAATAACCTCAAAAAAAATCAAATATCTAGGAGTGAATTTAACAAAGTATGTGAATGAACTCTACAAGGAGAACTACAAACCCCTAAAGAAAGAGATCAAGGAAGGCTACAGAAGATGGAAACATCTCCCATGCTCATGGGTTGGTAGAATCAACATAGTAAAAATGGCCAAACTACTAAAAGTAATCTACATGTTTAATGCAATTCCCATCAAAATCTCAATGAGTTTCATCAAAGAGATTGAAAAATCCACCCTAAAGTTCATTTGGAAACACTAGGACTGTGAACAGCAAGGCAATACTCAGCAAAAAGAGCAATGCTGAAGGTATCATAATACCCGGCTTCAAACTCTTACAAAGAAATAGCAACAAAAACAGCATGGTACTAGCACAAAAACAGACATGAAAACCAATGGAACAGAATAGAGGACCCGGATATGAATCCACACAACTATACTCACTTTATTTTCAACAAAGATGCCAAAAATATATGATGGAGAAAAGATAGCCTCTTCAACAAATTTTGGAGGGAAAAGTGGTTCTCC